GCAGTCTGGTTTGAGTATGGTTGGGTGGCTATCTCTAGCACACACCACCATTCACTGTGCTGCTCCAACGTTGCCAAAATTAGTTCGGAGAACTTGATTTCATCCTGGAACCTTGCCAGAGTTTGTACCTGTGCTGTTTTTCTTCCCAGAAAAACTTCCCAGAACTTCTTGTTAGGGCTGGCTATTAATCAGTGGAGTTAAACACATATTAAATCATTTTAGTTGTTGTTTGTTTAAAATGAACTTTATTTTTTGCTTTTGTTGGTTTGTGCTTTTGGTATCTACAATTAGTTACTTATTAACAAGTTAAAGTTTGCTTAATGCACTGGTGGGCAGAATTTTGGCCCAGAGGTTAGGGCTGCCCAATTATTTTGTTACTTGTACTGTGCCTCCACTTTATATAATATTTCATTTTCCCAAGTCAATTTGTCTTCGGTGAATTTAGTCAAGGGATGGGGAAAAGAAGAGTAATAATTCACTGTAAGCTGATATCAAAGAGTGGCACCTATGGGCATCTCTTGGGTCCCCAGTATGTGACTTGAACCCTTATCAGATGCTCTTTTCTGCCTTCACTGCTAATTCACCCATCCATCACTTGCCATTGCTCCTTGTCCATCTGCACTGTTACTGGTGAGGAGCACTAATGCTTGGTCTCCTGCTTGTTTCTTACAGGCAGTGGTGGGTCATGGATCCTCTCCTGAGCCCATCCTGATCACTGCCTAGACCAGGGGCTGGCAACCTACAGAGGAGGACTTCGGGGGAACGGCCCCCGGCTCAAAAAGGTTACCTACCCCTGGCCTAGACAGACAGGGCAGCTTGTATGATCAGATAGCAATTTCCAGGGCTTGGAAAATTTACTTTTTTGAAACTACAACTCCCAGAATACCCCAGTCACCATGGGCAGGTCCAAAAGGTAACTTTCCTAAGCTCTGGCTATTTTTGTGGCTCTTCCTGAAGCTCTCTCCTCACTCCTTCCTCTACTAGTTTACTGGGTGGGCAGCAGCAATAGCAGAGGTGGAGGTACTATCACAACAAGGAGAGAAAGGATACCATGGGTATAGTATCTGAACCCTAACCTCAGAACCTAGAAGTAGCATTAAGTATATTGTCTCCACTTTTGCATTGCCCCTGTGAGTAAATAGGGCTGTGAATAGCCATGGCAGTGTGCTACTTCGTGCAACATTTTACTGGATCTCTTTTGAATAAACATAAGTATGTCCAGCATCATGGCATGGCACCTGTCCAGATTCCTCTTTAGTAATGCAATGTCTTATTACAAGAGATCCTAAATCAGCTGAAGTTGCTTGAAAGCAAGGAGAAGGTTCCAGAGACATCTGGAATGAGATTGTTCTGGAGAAGCTCTTTGAGCCTCAGAGATTCTGCAAGACCTGGGAGACAGCCAGGAAAAGCAGGTGTTGATCCTAGAGTCCAGAGTGTAACTGTGTCCTCTATGTCCCTCAGCAAGGCCTGAGGATTGTTAAAGCCTTGGTCCCTGAGCAGGATTGCAGAGAATTTCAGTGGCCAGTACTTTGGGTCACTTAGAGAGCAGGACGATATCACAAAGCTACAACAATCTTAATATTTTCGGTGAGGATAAGTGACAGCAGCTGAGAGAGCTACTAAAAGGAGTGAAAACAAATAGTCAAACATTTTTGTCAAAGAACATATATATACACATACACTCCTCAAATGTATTTCCAAAAAGATCCAAAGGCAGAAGGTCTCATTTGGCAACTTCCTTGCTTCATTTCACCTACATAAAATGAGGAGAAATTTAACAAAGTCCGTATTCTCATTTCCTTTGTTACAGATAATGACATGGACCTAGGAGCTCTTCAAAACAACTTCAATAGCACTTTGGAAAATGTTTATGACGACAATCTGGAGTCTAGCCGTACCAACACCCCTTCAAATGGCAACCCTGTTTGCAACGGCGAGCAGGCCGATCTTCTGAGAGGGGGTGATGCTGTCAAACGTTCTCAGCCATTGTTCATCCAAGCCAATAGGTATGTGGAGGAGGAGCAAAGCATTGTGGGAAATTCCAGCCATCACCTTCAGGGATTATCTGTGCAGAAATTATATCTGTTGGAAATGGGAACATACAATTTCATTTGAGTGGTGAATCTTCCCTCAGAAGCTTATTTCCAGCATCAAGACTAAGCTGTTGAATATGTGCAGAAAAATACACACACACCTCTGTTTTCATGGGAGATCTGTTCCAGACCCCCTCCATGAAAATAGAAACTCACCAATATTCAAGCCCCATTGGCTTGAATGGCCATGCGCTCCTGCGTGTGGCCTGCACGTGCGCCATTTTAGCCAATGGGGCTCGGCCCTCTGCAAAGAACCAAGAGCGCAGACTTCAAGTCTGTGAAAATGGAGGGGTGAGTATAGAATGTTTCTGAATATGTATAGCGTACAGGCATATCTAAGCGGCTAAGCAGACGGGCGGCATGGGGCCACCCCGGGAAGCTGCAGATCGGGGCCGAGGTATCCGCACTCCTCGGCCCCGCAGCGCAGCTTTGCTGCTCCAGGAAGGAGTGCTAAAATAGCGCTCCTTCCATAAATCGCTGAAGGTGTGCTGCAAAAGGCTGCTGGCGCACCTTCGGCGCCCCTTCTGCTGCAGCGTGTGCGGACGCTGCAGCGGAAAAGCATTCTCGGCTCCGACGATGTCTTCGGGAAGGGGTTGGGGCACCCAGCATGCGGCTGCCTCTCCCCTTCCTTGCCCTGAAGACGGCGCTTTGCGCCGTCTGCTTAGCCCCTAAGTTAACAAAGAAGATCCTTTTTATAGTTTTTTCCACCTGTCCAGCCCCCTGCATGTTCCTCATTGTCCTCTGTCTAACTAGAATGTTTTTTATTTAAAGAAGTATTGACATTGGGAGAATAGTGAAGGAGGGTCAGAGAAACACAGATTGTCGGTGTCAGGTTGCAGCAGTGTGCTCTGCAGCAAACAGTATAATAATCCTTGATCTGGGAAAGAATAGGATTCTACTCTAACTGATGCTACTATAGTTGTGTGTGCCTCCCTTCAACAGCAGTTGCTTCCAGAATGCTTCACTAAGCTTGCATGAATAGGGAAACAGGGAGAAAAGAGGAAAGAAGATATGCCTGTCTCATCAGTTGCTTTTAGCTTATTTTAAAAAAACGTAGATCTGTACATTTGCCCATCAGAATGAAAATTTCAAAATCGATTTTTTATAAGTAAAGATTTTTCATAAGAAAAGTCAACACTGTAGAAAGAAAAAAGTATCCCTAGATTCACTTTTGGAAGAAGTCTTCGAAATAAGAGAAACCATATATACAAGAGAAACCATATTCAAAGCCACAGCAAAGGGATCTTGTAGCACTTTTGAGACTAAGGGGAGATGCATACTGGCCCAAAGGGCTGGCCTGGGGGTGGAGTTGGGGTGCGGCAGCTACATGTGAGCCGCCCGACTCCACCTTGACGTCCTGGTTCTGCGTGTCCACACAGCGCGTGGCGGCAGGACACCCTCTTGGTGTAGCATGCACACACGCTGCTCCAAAAGAGTGCAAAAGAGCCGCAGTGGTGGCTCTTAGGGCGGCCTTTTGCTGCTCTTTTGGGGGCGGCAAAGAGGAGGATCAGGGCCACAGTGTGTGGTTGCTGCAGCCCCGATCCACCGCTCTCAGAGGCGGCTCTGTGCCGCCCCAACGGGCTATCTGCAGAGGACCTTACTGAAAGAAATTGGTAGCATGAGCTTTCGTAGACTTGAGCCAACTTCCTTAGATGCATGCATCTGAGGAAATAGGCTCAAGTCTACGAAAGCTCATGCTATCACCTTTTTTCTTTAAGTTAATCTCAAAGGCGATACAAGATCCCTTTGAATATAGAAGTGAGTGCCTCTGGGCATGAGCTGAGTATATTTCAGCCATTACATAAGGAATCACAATCTGCATGTCTAGAAAGCAAGAGGCAGAGCTTTGAGGAGTATTGAGACCTGACATTTCTCCTTGTAGGAAGTAACCACTAACCGAGGCATGGTTCAAATATCAGCTAGGAGCATGGGGGAAAAAAGTGGAGGTGACTTCCATATGTTTTCTTTTCCACCTCAGCTGCATAACATAGGAAATGTGATTCTTGGTTTTACTCACAAAGACATTAATGAATTGTGTGTTTTGTGTGGTCACAGCGGGCACAGGAAATCACTGTTTCTAGATAACATGTTGGCTATGATCCTGGATGAAGGAAACACAATTTAATGTTTCACCAGGTGGAACTACACCACCACTTCTTCTCTATCCTCCCAAATTACCTTTTCACTGTTGCATCTTCCCCTTCAACATGGCCATTTACTGACCAGCGGAGAGCAGGGGGTGGTGGAGAACCATCCAACTTTGTTCCTATAACTAGACTCACAGTGACAAGGCATTCTACACAGGAACCTGGGGCTCTTTCAGAGGTCTTGGAGGATGATGTCAGCCGTAGATGTCCAGTAATAGGAACATAGGTGGACATGTCTCTGTCACACACTGTTTTCCTAGTGTCATATTGGTGGGGAAGCTACAGTGGGTAAAAGTTATGATTGAAGAAATAGATTGTTTTCGCTGAGGCTGTAGCTACAGAGGGAGGCAAAATGAAGGCATTGCTCTCGTCAAATAAGACTTCTCCCTATTAAATTTTTCTTCAGTCCTTCTATTTCTAGCATTGAAAACATTTAAAACTTTTTTGAGCATTTAGAAATATAGGTTAGACATCCAAAGAAATGGGGCACGCACAATGACCAAAGCAATGCAAACACAGTAAGTAGAAATATCATTGAGGTGTGAATGATTTTTCAGTGTCTCACTCTGTGCAATGCTAGAAATTTGGGACTGAAGGAAAAGTTCAGTATGGGTCAGAGCACTTTTTTGTAGGGCAATGCCCTCATTTTGTCAGCAACCCCCCACCCCCCAATAGCTATGCCCTGGTCATTGCATCAGGTCAGAAGAGAATCCTGACCTCTGCAATGACCAACAAATGATTTACGCAGGTGTAACTTAGAGCCAGTATGGCGTAATGGTTTCAGTGTTAGACTACAACTCTGATGCCCAGGATTCAATTCCCAGCTTGGCTGTGAAACCCACTGGATAAGCTTGGGCAAGTCTCATGCTCTTAGCCTTGAGAAGGCAATGGCAAACCTCCTCTGAACAAATCTTGCCAAGAAAACACCATGATAGATTCACCTTGGGGTTTCCATAAGTAGGAAGCCACTTAAGGCACACAATGCACAACAACACACAAGTTGAAATTATGGCTGTGTAAGTTAACAGGATGTCAGTGATAAATGTCCTCTTCAGATGTGATAGCAAAGAGGTACTAGAACAGGCCTGAAGCAGATAATCAGATTAATGTAATGAATTTAGGGGGGTTGCAGACTGCCAGAAATAGTTCAAATTGAGTCCACTTTAAGGGTTAGAGTTAATGCTAGGGAATCATGGGAATTGTTTTTGGTTTTTTTCTGAGACATTGAGCCTTCTCTGTCAGAGAGCTCTGGTGCTACAATAAAATACAGTTCCCATGATTCCCTAACCCTTAAATTGGACTCAATTTGCACTATTTCTGGCAGTCTAAATCCTGTTCCAGAAATGTGAAGAATCCAGGACAGTTCAGAGTCAGCTGGGTGGCTTCTCATTTGGGCCATGCATCTGAGATTTTTT